TGATTTCTTGATGGAATGATGGATTATGATGATCAACGTATACGAATAATGATTTCACGGGATTCACGTATAACTGCAATGGCTAACTGAATATGATCTAATTGAACGTTCTTATCTTAGCGTTCTAGCTGAGCAATACTTGAAGTTGAGCACATTAGCGCAATGTCGTCAATCGCAGAACCCAGTCTTTACCCCAGATGCCGTGAGCCTGGTCTACTACCTTGATCTTCACCCCACGAACACGAACAACAACCGCGGCACCGGCTGAATACTGCATAACAATTTCTATACAACCAGCTTTAAATCTTGTGTAACGTTGCGACGGAGAAATTCTCTCCGTGATGATCTCACAGATCGCGGGGAAGAAGTGGGGCTCCTCATATCGAACCTGGCTCGGAAAGGCGCCGTCACCGTCGTCGGTTGATTCGCGATGCCAGATACGAATGCTCCATGCTTTTTGCAGAAATACTCCGCGGTGCGAGAGCGACTAATGGCACGGGCTAGCAGTATGCACGGCGCACGTCACGAATGTAAATCTGGAGAAGAACGAAGGTGACGAGGATCCTCGCATTCGGATCATGGGATGCGCGGTAAACTTAATCGTAAAGAGGAGGACAGACTATGTAAAGGAAGGGGATCGCTACGGGCGAAAGGTATGGTATTGTTTGAGGTTGTTACTACAGATTCCATCTGCCCATCATGAAGCTCTACAGCTCACTTACTTTCATCCCTCTGTTCCAGTTGGGCTACGCACTCCTTGATGTCGACGCTATAGTCGACAAGCACTACGGCAACGACGCAGCATGGTACCGTGACCGCATTCCTCTTTTCGAGTCGAGCGACCAGGACATCACCGATGTGTACTACTACCGCTGGTCCATCTTCCGTGCTCACCAACGCGATCTCGGTGCTTACGGCTACATTTCCACTGAATTCCTTGACGACGTCGGGTGGCAGACAAAGCCTTTTGCAAGTCTAAACGATGCAACAGGCTTCCATCTCTTGGAAGGGCGATGGTGTCGCGACCGCCGCTTCAAAGAAGACTACGCAACATTCATGTACAGCGCCGACAGCAACAGTCGCCAGTTCTCCGAGAGCATGGCCGCAGCAGTCTGGGCAGGCTACCTCGTCGACGGCGTAAAGGAAGACGCCATCAAGCGCCTCTCCGATATGACGCGCGTATACGACGCCTGGGACGATTCCTTCGACACGTCAAAGGGGCTCTACTACGTCGAGCCCATCCGCGACGCAACGGAATACACAATCTCGTCCATCGACTCGTCGGGCGGCTACGACGGTTTCTTCGGCGGCGACTCCTTCCGGCCTAGCATAAACAGCTATCAATATGCCAACGCGCTCGCTATCGCCAACATGGCATCGCTCGCCGGGTCTATGAACAGCACCGTAGACACATACACCACGCGCGCCTCAGCCCTGAAAAACCGTGTCCAGGAAGCTCTCTGGAACACAACCTTCTCCCACTTCATCGACCGCTACCAAGTCAACAACGAAAACGTTACCTACTGGGATCCCATCCGCGGCCGCGAACTCGTCGGCATGGTCCCCTGGACCCACGATCTACCCGACGATAACGCAGACTACGCGCAAGCCTGGGCTCACATCCTCGACGCCGATGAACTACGCGGAGAAGCCGGTCTGCGGACTGTAGAACCCAGTTACGAGTACTACATGCGGCAGTACCGGTACGAAGGGCCCAACCCAGAGTGTCAGTGGAACGGCCCCGTGTGGCCGTTTCAAATGACACAAGTCCTGTCCGGTCTCGCCAACTTCCTCGACCACTACGAAAAGGGCAAGGAGGCTGGTGTGATCAACTCAGACGACTACACAAACCTCCTCCGTCAATACGCACAATTACACCGAAACCCCTCTACGAACATCTTAGATCTAGAAGAAGACTACTACCCCGACACCGGCCTGCCCATCGTAGGTCTCAAGCGGTCACATCACTACTTCCACTCGGGGTTCAACGACCTCGTCCTCTCCGGTCTCGTGGGCATACGACCTCGCTCCGACGACGTACTAGAAGTAGCCCCCCTGGCATCAGCCGCCCAATTGACGTATTTCCGCGCCGAACGCATCATGTACCACGGCCGTGAAATCGCCGTGCAATGGGATAAAGACGGTAGCCACTACGGCGGCGGCAACAGCACGGGTTTAACCGTGGAAGTCGATGGCAAAGTCGTTGCGTCAAGTCCCAGTCTCACCCGTCTTTCCGTCGAGTTAGAAAGGAAAGCCCCCCCAGCCATCACCCGCAAGCTAGCAAAGTCCATCCAACTCAACTCCACAACCCCCTACCCGCGTGCTTCAGCTTCAGTTGGTAACTCCAGCCAGTCAGCGACATACCCCGCGATCGACGGCCGTATCTGGTTCTACACCGAGCCAGACGCGAAGAACGGGTGGGATACACCTGTCGGTAACGGAACATCTATCTGGTTCCAGATCGACTTTGGCAAGTCCGTTAGTACTAGCAGTGCTGAGCTTGCGTTCTTTGCGAATGAGGAACAAGGGTTCGCGGAGCCGGAGAGCTATAAAATTCAGGTGCCTGCTGCTGGTGGAAATGGTACGGAGTGGACGGATGCGGAGGATGCGGTGTATGGGGATGTTGTTGCGAATGGGATCACGGAAGTGGAGTGGAAGGAGGTTGAGGGAGAGAAGGTCAGGGTGGTTTTCACGCCTAAGACGGGGATGAAGGTTAGGATTGCGGAGTTCAAGGTGTACTAGTCGTAGGCTTTACTACTTGGACCATGCCACGACCAGTAGCGTCCCATAAGAGGGTAACGCAGGATCAATGGAATACCTATTGTCTTGATTTATTCATTTGTTCATTCATATAGCAGCATCAAAGCTGAGGGTATCTATCTCCGGCTGTTGAAAGGCCAGATTCTACTTTTTTGTCTTACGCCAGAAACATCTTCCTATGCCTCGACGAAGCCTATACCCAGCTGCGCACATCGATGTGCAGTCGCTAGGTACGGGCAAGCACGAACCTGCTCGCGATGGCATGCCCTCGTAGATTGTTGAAATACACGAGCTTCAGCGCTCACTCAGTGTGAAGACGCTTAGCTGCTGTAAGTTTGCTTGGGCTGGGGGTATGAAGGGCCCAGCTCCTGGATGCTGAGCTTGGCAAGCCATTGACCCATGTCGATGGCCTTGTCGAGCGGCTTGCCCTGGACGATACCAGCGACGAAACCACCGGCGAAGGCGTCACCGGCACCGTTGGTGTCGTTGATTTGCTCCTCCTTGATGGCGTGGACGGAGAACTCCTTGACGTCAGCGTCACCGCCCTCCTTTGCGGTCACGGCGATGGTTGGGTCGGTGCCTTGGGTGAAGACAACAGTCCTGGGTCGCTTGCTGTTTTGCTTGGGTGTGTTGGCAAGCTTCTTAGCAATCTCCTTGACGTCCTTGGTCTCCCAACCATGTGCCTCGGCGAATGCGGCGGCCTCGGTCTCGTTGCCGATGACGATGTCGACGTAGGGGAGGACCTCGTCGAGAGGGTCCTTGAAGAATTGCGAGATGAAGGGCGCGGAAAGGTTGAGGATGAATTGCTGGAAAGCTGTTAGCGCACTGCCGTTTTCGCGACACATCCAAGATCTTCATACCTTGTCCTTAGCGGCAGCCTCCTCGGCCAGAGCCTTGACGGCTGGGACACAGACGGTCAAGTGGAAGCCACCAACGTAGTAGACCTTGGCGTTCTCGACCTGCTTCCAGATGCGCTCCTCCTTCAAGTGGTCGATCTTGTAGTTGTTGGCAGCGGCAAGGTCGGTGCACATGGAGCGGTTGTGGCCAGTGATGACAACACCGCAGCGACCAGTGGGAGTCTTCTCATCGTAGAGGTACTCGGTCTTGACACCGGCGTCGGCCGAGATCTTCTCGAGAGTCTCGCCGTACTTGTCCTTGCCGATGCAACCAACGTATACGACCGACTTGGGCTCGAGGATGTAAGCCGCACCACGGGCAGTGTTTTGGGCGGCACCACCAGCGATCAGGACGGCGTTGTAGTTCTGGAGCAGGTCCTCGTACAGGCCCATGTGCTTCTCGGGGTCGGCGAGGATCGCATCGTTGGCCTTCAAGCCATACTTGTCGAGGAGAGCCTGGTCACTGCTAGCTGTTAGCAAAAGCTCACTCTGGTGCTCCTCCGCATTTGCCGCAAAGCATTGCGAATCTAGCTAGAGGAAAATGGACTCACCCGACACCCTGGATGTCCAGAAGCGGGTTCTCGAGGCAGAATAGTTCGTAGTTTCCAGGCATTGTGTTTGTTGTGTGTGTGTAATAAAAGACGTTGGTGTCGTAATGGAGTGAAAGTGCTGAATGTGGGGCAGGGTTTCGGACAGCGAGGGGCAGCAAGCTCCGCGCTAACAATTGCACCGACACGTAGAGTCCCGAATCGAGCAAGGTAAGTGCAGCCGAGTGAAGCATCTTGTCGTGCATACGACAGAAGGCATCCTGGAAGGATATGGCATGAAGTCACAGCAACTAGAAGGCCTGTGGTCATACGCATAACTCCTTGTTAAATCTATAAAGTAAATTAGATCTCCCAGACCAGGCATAACACGTTGAGACTAGACTCATCTCCGATCCAGAAGCTCAAAGCCTTTGGTCATCTGGGAGATAAATCATTTCTCAAGCCAGACCATAGCCTGGCTGTTCCGCGGGACCAACCCATGCAATAACGCAATAATTTCAGTCTGTAAAGCAAATCGCCCCATCTAACTACCTTCCCTTGATCTTCGATGGTGCTCTGGACAAGTCATGGCATGCAAGCGAAGCATGATAGGAGCACACATGCCGCATGCGGAAGAGCACCCACACTTACTTGGTTGGAGAGTTCGCTCATAACCCATCCAACGGAGCTCTTCAACTCCGACACGACAGTCTTGTGTTAACCAGGTTGGTAGTCTGGCAAACCGTATGTCTAGCGACGGTAACGACTGATGATAAGACAGCATTAAGCAGCCTGCTACGGCTGCGCTGGCATTGGATCAGCCGCCTTGGCCGTTGGGAGGAGTTCGCCCCCAGGAGCTCTCGGCATTGCCCCGGTAGGAGCTGAACAGAAGCGGGCTCGCCATGTTTGCTCCATTCGCGTATCCATACTGGTGGTTGTTGTTCATGTCGCTGCCATATGGCGATCCCCAGTTCGAGGGGCTGCTGACGTGATTTCCCCACGCAGCGCCACTGCCGATACCACTGGGAGCTCTAGTAGCAGTTGGAGTACCAGTCTCGACACTCAGGAGCGAGTTCGCTGAATCCCCTCGCACATGACCAGACATCCGGGGTTTATCATTCATTGAAGGTCGACGGAGATCGTTGCCAAGGCCATTGGTGTTTAGCATAGATGGGGAAGCCGGACCGGGCGTACGATTCCAGATGGAGTTGGAGTTCCACTGACCATCTGGCACAGAAGGTAGATTTGGTGGCTGACGGATGGAAGACGTAGAACCCGACCTACCCATCGGCGTGGAAAGCATTGCTGGCATGGGAGCAGGAGACAAGGGCTTGTAGTTCCTAACCGAGTTGACCAAGTCGTTGATCGACAATGCTCCAGGCACAAACGTATTGTCATTGACAACGGCCGTGTCGTCGAATGTCTGCTCCGGTGGTGTAGGTGGGATATTCTCGTCTTCTTCAACTAAAGGGTCCAGTCCGGTCTCGTCGCCGACTAGATCATCCACCATGTTGCGCATCGCATTGTCCTTAGCAAGCGTAGTGGATGCAGATTCTGAAGCTGCTGCAACGGAGTGTGATTTCTGGTCGTCTGGAATAGGCGCCTCTGTGTGCTTGAACAGAGGTATATCGGTGGCCTGGACTGAAAGAACAGGAGATCCGTCAGGCCGGGTCGTTGGGCTCGCCAGAAGCTCCGATGGTAATCCTTCTTCTCGGTAGATAAATCGCGGGCCCGCCAAGTCCAGTGGTGCATCGTCAATCTGCGTGAGGAGCAGACCATCGATCAGCAAATCCTTCACTCGCATGAGCATCTCGACGTTGGGGTGGTTGCGCTCCAGCTCAGTCCACTTCTGCTTCATTACATCCCCCTTATACCAGAGCTTCATGGTATCCGGGGAAATGAGCGGCTCAAAACCAATCGTATCCGTATCCTCCTCCAACATGTAGTCTTCCTGGGGGAGTTGATCGACGGGAAAGCTCGAGGCCAAGAGAGACAAGGTAGCAGCGTAGGCTTTCCAGAGCTCTTGGACGTCGACAGGGTTCAAGGTATCGGCGATATTGGCGTTGAGTACCTTCCAGTAGCGCGTGAACCAGGTGCTGTATAGACGAAGTCCTGGGAGAATGCGGCGAGCCACAGCTGTAATCTTGTCGGATAGGTGGGCCGCGCGGTCGCCATTCTGGTGCTTCACATCGTTGCCCTCAGAAAGACGGTCCAACTCCGGCTGCAGGACTTGTAGTAGAATGAAGAATGTCTTGACGTTCAGACGAAGGTAGTAGAAATAGGTGCGCATAATGTTCGGGGGTGGGTTTTCGCCTGTCATGATTAGCCAAGTTAGCGTATGAAGGGTAGACAACTTACTCTGCAACTGCACCGTCGCAAAGTATTCCGCTGACATGTTGATGAGAATGATCTTGGTCAAGATGGAGTCCAACGGGCGCTCTTTGAGCTCAATAGCCAAGTGGCTGAGCACCTCGCCTTCCAATTCATCATGCGCCGCGAATTCCTCGCCCTTGTAGAGCTTGCTGTGCAGTCTGATGAACCAAGCAATCAAAGCCCGACCGGTATTACCGTCGGCTGACTTGTGGTTGTTGATGAGCTGCCCATTGTCCCATGCAGTTATGACGCGTTTGAACTCGGTCGCGAGGTTGGCCTTGGCCGACGGGTACGGCTCTTTGCTTGCTAGCGAGCGGTAGAGGTGGTATACGCAGCGGAAGTGGTCGCCGTCCTCACGGGCGATTACTGCGAGTTGATTCGGCGCATGTCCGGAATCTGGGTATATCTCTGCGGCCAGGTCGTAGTAACCTTTGGCTGGGCCCCAATTGCGGTCCTTGTTCTTCTCGACGAGTTCGGTCTCGCGGTAGCGGGAAAGGTCGCCGAGTTGGATGAGCGTCTGGTGGCAAGAGATGAGGACCTGCGTTTTCAGGTTCGCGGCGATGCGCTGGCGCGGGGAGGACTTGGAGGCTGCTCTCTTATCAGCAAAGTCGCGTGGCGCACACCGGGCGTGCTTACTATCATCCTTCCATTTCTGGGCGATTTTGCGCAGCTCTGGGATGCCGTCGAACTGAGTGTCGAGGTTCAGTATGTACTGGCGGTAGAAGCGCTGGCTGGCCTTGATAAACTGCAGATAGGTCTTTTGGAACTTGCGGATCTCGACAACATGGTCCTTGGATCGCTTGAGCTGCCGGGTGTTAGCGATGCCTCTCGTGCTCTCTCGCGTGGTGACGCACCAGCTTATGTTCCTGCCTGAATTTGGTGTTGACCTTCAGATGCGCATTCCACAGCGTCGTCTGGAGTTCTCGGGCGGATGCGTATTCGAAGTTGGAGAAGATAAGGGCCTCGCAGGCGGCGCGGTACCTGTCGGACATTAGTTGTCGCCGGTATGAAGTGGCAACGATGCCTACTCTTGCAGTACCGCAGCTAATTCGGCGCACGAAGAGCCGCCATCAGCGCGCTTATACAGGTCCTTCTCGATCGCCTTCGCCCGTCTGCACTTTTATTAGCACCCGGCCGACATGGCCGGAATGACGCAATGACGCACCTGTCGAGTTGTTCGGTGTTGGCGGCCATGCCTTCTATGTGCAGGAGCCGGCGACGTTCATATGTGACCCCACGGTCGGCGGGCAGGTCAGACGAAGGCACGGAGCAGGCGGCGGACGTTGTGGCTGGCGTGCTCCATTTATGGTGAGGGGGTATGCCCTGCGTAAAGGACAGAAGCGAGCGGGAGGGTCTCGGAGGCAAACAGCGCCCAAGACGCGGAGCTATGGCGTCAGAGTCGGAGGCGATGGCCGTGGTGAGAGGTGTGAGAAAGTGAGGTTGGTGGATGAGTCGCGAGAACTAGCGGGCGCAGCAGTCTCGGAGCTAAGGTACCACGTCCCGGTCTGGCTGGCTACCAACCCTCTCTCTTTCACCGCACAGCCAACACCCAAGTGAAACAGCCCTGCGAGACGGCACTCTCCCCGGTAAAAGGTACTGCCCCTTTCATCTACGCCTCGTCACAGTCACAATCAGCCCCAATCAACATACAATGGGGATCAAGCGCTCACACCGCGATTCCTCGTCATCAGACAGCACACCCTACTCGCGTGAGACATCGGCCGACGTCAAGATTGTCCACTTAGATACCGAATCTGCCGTCTCTGACGAACCCATCATCATGAAGTGCTCACTGCCTCCGCACGAACCGCTTGCGTTCAATTCCATTGAAGACCACGATGTGCACTACCAGCAAGTTCACATGAACCGATGCAGCGAATGCCACAAGAACTTTCCGGACCAGCACTTTCTACATCTGCATATTGCAGAATATCACGATCCCATCAATGCTGCCAAGCGAGACCAAGGAGAGAAAACGGTAGGTCGTTTCCTTACGTTGTTTGTCACGTGTTTGCTCCTTCCCTTTCCGGATCTCCCGAGTGGTTCCTTCCTCTTGACAGGTGCTGTCATTCATTCGGAGTAAGACTGGTGAGGTATGCGGAGTACGAGCGCCTTCACAAGGACACTGTAGCTGATAGCTCGCAGTATGCATGTCTTTTACCTGACTGCGATCGCATGTGCAGCACGCCACAGAAGCGCCGCCTCCACTGCATTGATAAGCACCAGTTCCCTCGCGAATACGACTTCATTGTTGTGAAAGACGGTATCGATCGCCGAAGCAGCATGCTGATACCCTCTCACCGACGAAGAAGCTCGACAATGAGTTCGGCGAATGGCGCTGCTGGTTCTCCAAGGAGGCGGAGAGGTGAGTCCAGCGCAAGCACTGGTGATACTATGGAGATGGATCACGAAGAAGTTCAAGAAGAAGGAGAAACGCGTCGCTACCCCACCAGACTTCGCGGGCGTGGGGGATTCGGAGGCCGCGGGCTCGCACGAGAAGACGCAGCAGGTATCGCTGCCCCAAAGACAGCCACTACTGATCAGCCGACCGATTCCATGGACAGTCTGGCTTCTAGCATGTCTGCACTGAAGTTTGTTCCTCACAGTGTCCGGGTAGCGCGCACAAAGGGTAGAGGAGGAGGTGCCTGAAGATACAGCCTTCAAACGAAAGAGAAGAGTTCGGCTGATACTTTTGTCTTTCTTCTACTTCCCTGTGATCGTTCTTTCTGTTGCATCTCTTGTCAAGTCATGTTGCCTTGCGTTCCTTCCACAAATGTGGGTTGCCACGTGGTAGTGATTACAACAGCATTTCACCTGACGCCATCCTCATTACAACACCACTGGTCTTCCTCGGCGATCCTGTATTGCTATCGATCGAAATAGCAAGGTATGTATACGACTTTAAGAGAATTAAACTACAGGCTAACATCGCCGCTGGCCGGGTCTCCTTCTTCCGTAATGCACCTGTCGACACAGCAATGGTGTACATTGTCTGGTTGCACTACGCATTGCGAACCCTCCTACTCTTTTTCGATCGTCTGAAGTCACTCGGGTTGGTAAGGGTGGAGCTTGCAGCCGTCTGCTGTCATGTTTTCCTGATACGCGTGATCCTCACCCGACCACAACAACCGCCCCACCACCGCTTGCGCGCCATCGTCATATGCGTCCGAACTCTGTCCAGATTCATAGCCATCATGAAACCGTTGACTGTCGCTTGCTGTGCGATCGCAAACGAATACCTGCGCCGAAGAAAACAGCCATCTTGTGACGCTGCCAATCGCGCTCGCCCGGAGCCCCAAGTCGAACTCTCAAGCACCGCCATTGAACAAACGCCAGACAAGCAAACAACGGAGGCGCAAGCTCAGCCAGCGTCGAATCATGTACAACCCCTCGTCACATCGACCGCGAACGAGAGATGCGACACAGTCGCAGTCGGCGTTAGGACCTTCGCTTTGGATAAGATTAGTACAGCACCTAGTAAGTCCCGATCGAATGCAGAGTAGATGCGGGGTCTATTGTACAAAAGCTTACTCAGAATTTCGATAGGACATTTCCGCAAGCCGGGCGTTTGGAGGCCAATGTTAATGAGCGAACGCACTGGCAGTACCTTTCTGGCGGCTTTGCAACCCAACGCAGACAGAGGCGCGGCGGTCACAGGAGCGAATGCTGCACAAGACGCAGGTGCCGACGGAACCAGCTTATCTGCACACGATAATGTCGCAAAGGCGCGGCAAGGGACGACCGACCACGAGTACCAGATCTCTACCACCTTCTGCTTCCCTGCCATGGGTGCATCCGCCCCACTAACTCTTCCTCTGACGCCGCACCCTGAAGACGTCAGTGACACAGCATCCCCAACCTCAGATACAACCTTGTTCGAAGACGCGCCTGTATGCACACCCAGCCAGCTAGGATGCGATGAAGACATCAATGCGTACATAGCTTGTAACGACGCATCGATGGAAGGAGTGTCAGTCACCTGGACTCCCCAAATGCCAGAGCACGAAATCGATCCTGTCGCTAAACGCCCTCTTCGGCATCGTCGATACGTCTCTTCTCAATCAAGCTTCGACGTTACTGAAACGCCTCAAATCCCGCTTCGGTCAAGATCAAGAACCAACGATGGACTGCTGTTGTTTAGGGCAAATTCCTCCAAGGAAACCACAGATAACTCCCCTGAAATAAGACACCGTCGGAAGGTCTCTCTGAACCTTCCAGTCAACACACACGCAAGCCAGGCCACCGCCACCCAGCCATTTGGAAAGTCCGGTGTCAAAAGTTGTACAAAGCGAGCGTCTGGCATGGAGACCGCTTACTATACCACCAGCCTAGACGCATTGACTCCAGAAGAACGGGATCTAGAGTACAAGCACCGGCATACATTCATAGGAACTGGCTCGCTAGACGACTTCCTAGAAACACTGGAAACTACACCAAACCATACTGCTACCAAAGATGCGATTGCTCGGGCATTCGTACAACTGGCAGCATCAGAGCAGCTCTACGCTCAACAATGTTCTGCTGGTCAGGGGTGGGATCTAGTTATGCGCACAACACTGAGCCTCATGGACGTTACTAGCGTCGATTACATTGTCCAGTCGCAAGTCAAGCTGGGCTCCATTACGCTACGGCAATTTCTGGACTTGATACCTTTCGATGAAGTCGATGAGGTGGCGGCACTACGTATCGTAGAAGCGTTCTCTATTGCTAGCCATCTGGATGCGACGGCATGTATAGGCGCACGAAGTAAGGCACGAGCTTTCCGGAAGTGGATGGTCGACCAAAAGAGGGTGGACGCAGATTGTTGAGGATAACAGCGATGAAGTACGCGCACTTCCCCCTCCTATACCCAGTCAATTTTCCTATCATCAATACCCCAATGTCACCGACGTATCTTCCTCTGTACGCTCCTGTACTATTGCTCTTCGGAGAGTTTATGATCAGAACAGCGAAGCAGAAACAGGTCCTTGTTTCATTGAGTGTCTCTCCTTCCCATCTGGGCAGTATCCCAAGGCACGTGTCTTCCCTACACCCACCCCCGCCTTGGCGCCTATGCTTCTTGACCTTCTTTTCGATACTGTCTCTTGACCTTCTTCCCTGAGTTGATCTTACGCCTTCTTCGCATTCTGAAAACGCCACTCAGCTCGCTCTTGCCCACTCATTCCAGAACCTCGCGGCTTTCCCCTTCGCGTTAAGGCAGGTCTCCTTCCAGTCCGAACTTTCACTGAAGGTCCGTGCTCCGCCTTACTACCCCCACTCGATACAGCCTCCAGCCGCTTGCACTACACTCTCTACTCACACGCAATACACCAGAGGCAATCGATCCGTTTGCCACGTCATTGTTACATACTCACGCGCATTACCAATAGCTACTACGATGTCGAGCCGCCCACTACCGTCGTCAAGCGTTCTGCTAGGAGAAGTCAAGGCCACTGCCTTACGCAAGTACAAAAAGAGCGCGTCAGTCTTTCTAGAGGACGCCGCCCTTCATATGATGGTTACCGAACATCCGGGTGACATCCAGCGCTACGCCGGATTCTACAACATGGTCTACCTCTTCCTCGACCCCTCTCACTGTCAAGAGTCAAATCGACCATTTGCGAACCCCCTTCTCACCAAGGACTCGACGAATCGTTTCATTTGGGATAAGATGGAGTATGACTGCGCCGATTACCTCGTAGACGATGACGATGATCACCTTGAATCGATCGAGGCTGCAGCAGTTCGACCTATTGAAGGGTCCATCGGCGCACCCATCATTGTCGCTACGGAACAGGTGGCCGCTATCTCGAAGAAGACGCAGAAGAAGACGTCTGCCATCCATCCTGGAGAAAACATCAAGACGCGGCTTCGGCGCGTATATAACGACCGCCAGGAAGCAAAGAAGTTGGACAGCTGGCTGGCGTTGAAGGCTACGGTCGAGGCGGCTGCGACACTCAACGTCCCTGCTCACGTTTCCACTACCCAGTGGCACTTCTGGAACGCCGCTTTCTTGGATATCCTTCCGTGGCTACCAGCGCCCGAGCGCGCTGCTCGCCTCCTGGCCTTGGAGAGTCGCGATGTCACTAATGAAACTTCTAAACCATGGTCTGGGATCTGGCAGACCTACCAGTACGTTCAACTCATCGACGAGATTGAAACAACTGGGTGGGACAAGACTCTGTGCGACTTGTCCGAAAACTATGAAGACTTCTCCGAGAAGTTGGTAGATCTCGACGTGGCCACGCGCATGGCTCTGGGTCTGCCGGTTGCACTGCCGCCAGTTCGCGAGGAGAACACGTCGGTGCTTTCCGAGTTCACTGATTCCAAGCCATCAACTCCTCATACTCCAGTACTCGAATCTGGCACTCGTCGTCCCAAGCTCCTCCCAAAGTCTCAGACTACGCGGAAGAACTTCGAATTAGCCCATCTGACTGAGAAGACTATTCCAGCTTCCGAAGTCGCCACACCGTCGGCTGCTACCTTGTCGCCAACCGACACCAACATATTTAAGCTACCTGAATCGGAGCCAGAGAAGCCTCCTACATCGTTTGGTGGCTTCAAGTTTAGTAACACCGCTTCGAGGATTGTCAGTGCCCATCCTACGTCCATGCTACTACAGTCCGCTCCAAATTTGCAGCTCCCCGATACACCGACTTTTAACTTTGGCTTCGCTAAGAGCACCTTTGACGCACCAATCTCTGTCTACATACCGAAACTCGATGAACACACTGCTTCCGGGACGTGCATGGCCACTCAAACGCCTGAACTACCCAAATCATCTTGGGCCGAACACACACCAAAGCCCGCAGTACTAACTGGCAAAGATACAAAGTCTATCTCGACTGCTTTTGGTACTACGGCTGTCGGCTGCGATCATTCCTCATCAGAGAGACCCATCATCCTCACTCAACATGCTGAGCAACCTCCTAAGTCTGATCTCGAAGGCTCTATAAAGGTAGAGGGTACTGAATGGGAGACCCAAGCAGCTGTCGAAGCGAAGTCAGAAGACCAAGAATACTCTACTCGGTTGACCATGGTCATTGATGAGCTTATGGTTGCTAAGCTTATCGAGAACTTTTGGAAAGAAACTTCAAACCCTGGTAGAGGGGAGACACTCAGCGACACTACTTCCAGGGAACAAAAGGAACCTTCCCGTTCAGACGATGAGCAACCCAACCAAGGTGGCCAAACCGCCGGTCTCCCAACAAAGGAATACGGTACTCGGTTCCCAACCTACACCGTTCGAGACTTCGCGGAGAAATACGTCCTCGCACGAAGTTCAGATCTCTCTGTCGATGACATATTCACTAGACTTACCAATTTCTCGAATGGCCGCCTCTTCGATGTCAACTGCGTGCTTCTTAACGTTGACGAGAATGACGAGAGCAAGCCTGCAACGTTTGAGGAAGCAGTTGGCATGCTCGAGCCGTATTTAGCAGGTCAGTGGACTCTGGATAATGCAGATAGCGATTCCGCATCCAGTTTCGGTTCGACTCCGTCGTTGACGCACTCGCATTTCTCCGAAGACGAGCTTGCCATCGATACCGAGATGGCAGAAGAGTACATGCTCGATGGATACGGGTGGCCGCTCGAGCTGACCGGGTTGCCTCAAAACGACAAGAAGTTCTTCGAAGCGGTACATACGAAGATCGTCGCAGAGACCGATCAGTATGAGTTCGATTGGTGGGCTGAGGTAGATTGCCTTCTGGGCCCTCAAGATGAGGAAGATGACGACGATGATTACGTTGTACCCACGGTCGATGATGATGGGAAACCCATCAAGCTCACACTAGACATAAACCCTCTACAAGAGGATTGGGCCGAAGACGTTTTCTCGCAGGTCTTCCCAGACTTCGAGCAGACTGAGGCTAAGCTTCCTGATGTCGCGCCGCAACTCCAGGTGGAAGTTGATGAGACATGCTTTTCGAATATGTTCGACTTCGAGTTCTTGCCTGAATCAGTCGATATGCCGGAACACACTTCAATCGAGGCGGCGAAGTTACCAGACGTTCCACTCGTCGACCCTTCGATGGCTAGTCTCGGGTCCATCTTTGCAGATCACGATAGGCTCCTGCATGAGCTATGTTCATTGGCTGTTGCAGCAGTAGGCATTGATGCGGAAGACCAGAAGGTCGGCTACCGTCTATCTAGTCCCGCTGTACGTACTGTTCAGTCAAAGGCTGTGCCTACCGAGAACTCAGGACCACTCGATGGTATCGGAACTGGCAGTTCTGCTCATGTGAACTTAGCTGCGATTTGGCCCTTGACGTTCAGCCAGCGCGACACAGTCCATCACCTACCGCACTTTGATCTAACGGTAGATGACTGGCTCAAGTCTCAACGACAAAGCAGCCCCACAAACATCAACATCAACGGACTGAGTGAGCCAGCACGGTTCGATGTGGCCAAACTTTGACGGTACACCCGCATTCAAAGAGCGAGAAGAGTACATGATAGCCGGGATCACGAAATAACAACCTCGAGCCCCCAAAGAGAGAGCTTCGTGAAGCCGAACGCAGAATCGGAGGAGCATGACGACTCTTTCGGGGATGGCGAGCTCAACGAGCACCCACTATACACGCGCGTAGAGGCTTTCAATAACCACATCGCCGTCGGCCGCGTGACGCAGTCAAATAAGCCACGAAACTCAGGTCTTCGCCTTCTTCTTCGGTTTCTTCGCACCGGTTTACAGCTTCTCTTCATCCTCACGATGACGATGGTCCCATTCCGACCAGAGATCGGCAAGATAGCCACCTCCGAGCCCAGACCGGACTGTTAAACATGCCGACAATTTGCCTGCCTTCGCCAACGAGCCAAGGAAGAAAGCAGATATCGTTCTGCTAGATCAAAGATCTAGTAGATCAGAACAACACTTCGCCTGTGTCCACCAAAGAGTGCGCAGACGCACAGCGAATACACTTTCCTGGCCAAAAGGCCAAATTGTAGAAAATATTACTTTATTTGCCTGAGCCAGAGAGCAAAGGAAGAAAGCAAAGATCGTTCCGCCAGGTCAAAGGCTCGGCGACTAAGAAGATCGATCTGTGTGTCTCCACCAACGAGTGAGCAGACATACGACAAAACTGCTTTCCCGGGCCAAAGGCTCCGTTGAAGAGGATATCGGTTTGTCTGCCTACACCAAAGATTGAACGGACACACAGCAAAACACCCCTTGGACCAAGGGTTCAGACATAAGAGAGCAAGGTACACAGCCATTGCAATTGCGAGGAGGACTTGTCGCTCAAAGATGCGACATGATGAAGAGGACTACGGCGGTCACAAAGATGGCCGTCTTGTCGAGGTTTCTGCATCCACGGAGAAGGACAGCGTGGTATTTCCAGCGACGATTCGAGGAGATTTGAGGGTTGGTGTGCGCATGAAGTGTCACGGTAGAATCCGTGTCAATGGTGTTGGAGGTTGTTTTGAATTTCGCCGACGACATTTCGTTAGCACACGCGCGCTCAATGTGCGCGCAGTGAGGTACGAGGATGTCAGAAACCTAATCGGATCGCGAAACACCAAATCGGTGACTTGTAGAGCGGTGTGAGATGACGGGCAATCTGACCGTTAGTGAGGGCTTCCCCGCCATCCACAACGCTACTCTAGATCGCGCATGCTTCGAGCTGTCATCTCGACGATGCAAATCCTTGATTTCGAAAGAAATGCATCTTCTCTCGTATGCGGGTATGGCCGTTTCGGATACGCGGCTACACCAAGACCCTAGCAGCACGCATCCCACCCGATCATCCGAACAGCGCAACTCCAATGACGAGTGGAGAAAAGCATCTGATCTTCCCCGCATCATCCTTGACGCAGGAACCGATGCCACTGCCTTGATCCAAGTGCAGCCACCCGGACGTCGCGGAAGACTTGCTGCTGTAGTGACGGCCTAAGTCCTCGGCGCCCAAGACATTTCCAAGCGCCGCCAATGCCATCTTCAAACTTGGCGACTTGCATTACGCACACCAGCCCCTATGTACAACGACAACCGGGACCTGCGCGCAATCAATGATAGGGGAGGGCCTGAAGGGCCAGACTAGATGGCCAAGCCAATCGTGAGTTTCGTAGTCATTTTAACGAGTTTAAACGACCCAACCCTAGCCTCGTACCAACACCGAAGGATGACTACCAAGCGTTGCACTGTCGCCCAGCTACTGCTGCGGCTCAACGCCGTTACTTGGCTGACGGCCGAAGGGGTTTCATAACATCACGACTCGCCATCCTAGAATATTCGTTCTCTCGTTTTCCCTCGCTTCCTCCATACCAACCTCAGGCTCCGCTTCACGTCGCTCGCTGTGTAGTGCCTCAGGCGCACTCGTTAATCCACGCATGCCGAATACCCAACACCTTTCTTTCCAGTGATACCCCGGAGCTTCCGCCATGAGACCTTCGAACCTTGTTTTTGCAGCAGTCGGCCTGCTTTCCTCATTCGCCACTGCGCAGCTGGAGTTCAATGTTGACGATCCAGGTGCGCTCACTGCAACTGTTTTCGGACCACACTAACACAAATAGCCTCTATTAAGGATGCGACAAAAGTTGTTGCGGCGGGCTTAAGAGAATGGTACACTGGCGACAAACCCGGTGATGTACCTGGAAACTTGCCAGACCCATACTACTGGTGGCTATGCGGAGCCATGATGAACTCGTTCATCGACTACTGGTACTACACCGGCGACGACACATACAACAAGATTGTACAGCAAGCGATGGTGCACCAGATCGGTATCCCAAGAGCCTTTATGCCAGAGAACCAGACAAAAACACTAGGAAACGACGATCAGGCTTTCTGGGGAATGGCTGCCATGTCAGCAGCGGAAAACAAGCTTCCAGATGTCGAAGGAGAAATGTCGTGGTTGTCACTCGCCATCGCCGTATTCAACACACAGGTACCGCGTTGGAATCCCGAAACATGCGGCGGTGGACTCAACTGGCAAATTTTCCGATTTAACCCCGGATTCGACTACAAGAACACAATCTCCAACGGATGCTTTTTCAACATCGCAGCAAGGCTGGCAAAATACACAGGCAACGAGACGTATGTTGAGTGGGCCGAGAAGGCATGGGATTGGCAGTACAGTGTTGGTCTCATCAGCACAGATTACCATTTCTTTGGTAAGGATGCTCCTGAATATGTATCAGATGAGGTACGTGCTAATATGTACCTTTCCTAGATGGTACCAGCGAGAGACAAAACTGCACGGAAAAGAACCACATCCAATGGACCTACAACGCTGGAATCCACATGGCGGGTGCCGCAGCCTTGTGGAACATGTCAGAAGCAAAGGGTGATACGGTAAGGCTTCTTGAACCTGATCTAACTCCACCCTCATTCTAACGCAACAAAGGAACGAGCAGGCAGATGGCGAGAGCGCCTAGGCGGTGTTATCAACGGTACCGACATCTTCTTCAATCAGCAAGGAGCCCCAGACGTCATGATCGAAATGGCCTGCGAACGCAATGGACTATGCGACCACGATCAACGATCCTTCAAAGCCTACCTCGCCCGCTGGATGGGCTGGTCGATGCTAGCCGCTCCCTGGACCCGCGACCGCATCATGCCGAAACTCCGTGCCTCTGCCGTGGCAGCTGCGCAACAATGTGGCCCCGGAAAAGGTGGTTGCGGTCTTAGGTGGTGGCAAGGTGGAAACGACAAGGAGGTGGGCGTTGGAGAGCAAATGTCTGCATTAGAGGTCATGCAGAATCTGCTTGTTGATCAAGTCTCTGGTCCGGTTGGACTTGATAATGGTGGAATCAGTGAGAACGATCCTACTGCAGGAAGTGATGTGGGACCTGTGCGTGTTGAGCATGACTCTATCACGACAGGGGACAAGGCCGGCGCTGCGATTCTCACTCTCATGGTATTCGCGGTGTTCTTTGGTGGAGGCGCCTGGCTGATTATGAGCGAATAGTTTTATTTCTTAATTCAAAGCATTTCACACTTCATTGTATTGCGCGAACTGGGGCATTGATACTGAATGTGCACTCAACGCTTCATCACCGACTATCACCGACGAGAATCCGGAGTGGAGTGGTTCTACGCTTGCCAGCGACGCGTGATTTTGGATCAAGAAAGCTGTTCGACCCCAAACCTGCAGCACCACACGCGTGTATATTATGATCTGCAGGCATTTGTAATGCCGTGTCTGCAATGTGTATACACTGTAACCTATGAGAGGGCGTCTCATGACATAAGCATGCAGATCATGTCCTGAATGAGGTAGGATAGCGACTTCCCAACTCGGAATTAGCGCGTGTATACCTAGGTAGCAGCTGCATCACCTCACGCCAGCTATCCAGCATTTGTAAGCTCTCCGGCTATACCTCCGACATCACAACGACGATATAAGGCTGCTACCAGAGCTGCCATTCTCAAACGGTCGTTCAGTACTCGCCTGGTCTTACAATCGCGATCGTGGACAGTGACCAATAGCAAACATGACGTCAGCTAAACCCTTCAGCACCGTACCAGCAGGCGCGCAACAACAGCCCACACCCTTCGAGCTGCATGTTGAGGAACAGAAGTTGCAGGACTTCAAGACTCTGCTCAAGCTGAGTCCGGTTGCGAAAGAGACGTATGAGAACAAGCAGAATGCGGGAAGCCATGGCCAGTTTGGGATCAGCCGGCAGTGGATCATTGATGCGAAGAAAGAATGGATGGGGAAGTTTGACTGGTACGAAGGCGCAACAAAGAGTTGAAAAGGAATGGTTGCACTGACACGTTACAGGCGCAAGGAAGAAGACCGCATCAACTCTCACCCCAACTTCAAGACCACCATCAAAGACGATGGCGGTAGCAGCTATGACGTCCACTTCGCCGCATTGTTCTCCAACAAGTCAGACGCTATTCCAATCGCTTTCTTCCACGGATGGCCTGGCTCATTCTTGGAGTTCCTACCTCTCATGGAAGTTTTGAGCAAGAAGTACACGCCAGACACCCTCCCTTACCACATCATTGTACCATCTCTCCCCGGCTTCGCTCTGTCGTCTGACCCACCACTGGATCAAGACTGGAAGGTTGCGGACACATCCCGGATCATGCACAAGCTGCTTCTCTCCCTCGGATTTGGCGCATCAGGATACCTCGTCCAGGGCGGTGATATCGGCGCTTGGATCGCGCGAGAGCTGGCATCTACGTACGCCGAGTGCAAAGGCATGCATCTCAACTTCATGCACGCAGTCGACATCAAATCCTACTCTTCACCTGAGGACGAGCTCAGTGCAGCGGAGAAGAAAGGTCTTGAGAGGATGAATGAGTTCATGGAAGTAGGCAAGGCCTATGCAGTTGAACACGGCACCAAGCCTTCCACCATTGGCCTCGTACTGTCCAGTTCCCCTATGGCGCAACTGGCGTGGATCGGTGAGAAGTTCATGGCGTGGACTGATCCGTCCACCACGCCTTCCGTCAACACAATCTTGTCCGATATTACCCTGTACTGGCTTACTGGCTGCTACCCGACGTCAATCTACACGTACCGAGAGGGCAAGAAAGTCAAATATGTGGACAAGCCGTCGGGATACAGCTACTTCCCATATGAGCTTTCGCCTGTTCCGCAGGCCTGGGCGGCGAGGACAGCGAATCTGGCGTTTTTCAGGGCGCACGAGAAGGGCGGGCATTTTGCAGCATTGGAGAGGCCCGAGACGCTGTGGGCAGATGTCGAGGAGTGGGTCAAGATTGCTTGGAAATGAGTTGGTCGTGGCGGTGAAGTCAATGATTGTCATGAAAGATAGGAAAAACGATGTGCAAGCGGTTCAACGGGTTTAGCCTGAGATCGTGTCAAACCTAGTAGCATTGACGATAAGCTGATGACTGCGATTGTTCGTGTCGCCCGTTCACAGTTGCCACGGTAGAGTTCGGCCAATTTGCAGAACAGCTAACATGGCACCTTGTATAGTCTCGACGTCGCTGCCTCACTCTTCAAGGCCCATGCGGGGATCATGATGGTCGAGGCCGTCAAGTTTGGGACCGAGTAAGGATTTATTCGTAGGGCCGTAAGCAGCTAGCGTCGAGGCTGTGCGTGTGTCACTCCGCCGATGACGCATGTCATACCAATAACACGACCGTGCCAACAACCACGCTGCATGCCTAATCCTCGCTCGTAACATGAAACGTGCCACATAGCGGGCGGTGCCAAGTAAGCAAACAGCAGCAGTAACAGATGAATAAGATCGCGACACCTATAACTCCTCCCATTGCTCACAAAACATCCTTTTCCTACGCTCGCTCGTTCGTTTCGTTGTTTCCTTCTGCCGGTTCTCCTCACCACTCGTTCTCCGGGGCGACCGGCTAACACGGCAATCGACGCCCATCATCAAACATCGCCATCATGGCCTCTTTCCAATTCGGAGATTTGGGCACAATATGCAACTATGCGAAAGTTAAATACGAAGAGCGGGCGGAGACGAAGAGGCGCCGCAGCAGCTACAGACGCTCGTCCAGCGACCCCACCATGAACGCTACTATACGCAAACCCCACGGCAAACTACACAAACCACCCAAAATACAGTCGCTACATGAAAGAAAAGAGCGCCCGCGCAATAAGTTGCAGAAATCTAGGCCGCAGAGTGTTATTGGGGTGGTTAGGCCGCCTGTTAGTCTCTTTGCGTTGGAATACGATCCTTATCCGTATAATACGCAGCCGAGTCAGTTTTTGGGCGTGTACTCGAGTATCGATACTGTCACGGCGGCTGCTTTTCGACATGGCGCGTATACGTTTTCAAGAGAAGGGTTGCTGGATGGAAGCGAGTACCTGAGTCCGACGGGTCGCATCAAGATTGTTTCGCACGCTATACAGAGTGTGGGTGTTACGGCTGTGGTGCCAGGGGATAGGGCTAGCAAGAAGTTCGACGATGGGGTTATGAGGCTGGATATTCCGCACCCGCTCAGTCAGCCTGCGCCGCGGTTTGATAGTCAACAGGATCTCGACAAGGAAAACGTCAGCAAGGATGCCGTGTTCCTGGCGCTTCACGAAGGGCCGCAGAGTGCGTACTGCATTGGGATGTTTACGAGCAAGAGTTTGGCATGGGGTGCCTGTTTGAAAGATAAGGCGTGGCTAGAGTGGTCAGACCCGCTGACTGAAGAAGAGAGGAGTGTTGAGGAGAACGATATGCCACGGATCTCTGCCAGGCTCGTGGGAAGCGGACGACATGCGTGGTTTGTGAGGGCTTTTGAGGTCGATGGCAGGTGAAGCGGACGACCGAAGATACGACTTCACTTGTGCCTGCCAATATACGCCATACTGAGCGCACCATCACGACATCACTGCGGCATGCTCCAAGCATCGATAAGCGGATAACTATGCGGCCTTCTCATACGAACACCATGGGTGAAATAACGCGACGAACGACGACGCTACATATTCAGAGCCGCAAATATCGGCGACATACGCTAGCCGGGGTTTTGGTGGGATACGTGCTACGTACGCGGGCACCCACGAACAACGTCACGATGATGAAGATCATCGTCATGTATATACTTAGCCGGAGCCCTCCAAAGTACCATCTATACGAAGCATGGTACTGATGGTTCTCAGAAAGCAGCTCAGCAATCATGGAGGGCTTCAAGTACTGTTTTGGTAAACTCGGTGTTCACTGTAGAGATGAAGGAGAAGGCTCCTAGAACATACAAAAGATCCCTTTTATAGACTATAGCATGATGCTACCTTCGTGGCTTTATTCGTCTTCGCTCGCATGTGCCTTTCCATGACGATGTTCAGTCTTGTGAGCGAAACATGGGTCCGAAAGTTTCTGTCTTTTGATGAACCCCGTGGAAACCATACTACTGTTACAGCGGCAATTTGGGAATGACAACCTCATCTCGCCACCGACATTCTTTCTCTTTCATGATGTTTTGAGAATTGCCCAACCACAGGTCATGTATTCAATGCCTTTAAGTTTTGGTAAAGGAAGCGGTGGTAATGGAATATTTGAGCAGAGTAGAGAGTCAATTTATAGACGACGTGGATCGGGTCAGAAGAGCAGCGCAGACACTTTCGAGAGGCGAGACAACCTTTTGGAACCCGAGACTGAGGAGACATGAGCGCGAGATGCTCGCTTTTAGACGAAGAGAAGATGCCGGTCAACATGACAGAATGCTACGTCTGTTTTGGATGGAAAGAGGAAGGCAGGCACATGTATTTCTTCAGTCTCTCATTTTTTAACAGCAGAAGCAGGTAAAGGTGTCGTCTCTCCATTTTGGCGTAGATGTATTTATAGAGCGCGTCGTGCCGAGACATGTGTTCAGCGAATGAAATTTTGGAAAAGAGAGGAGAGTCGACGCGACATGGCAGTCTCTAGTCGAAATTTTGGTCGAAAAAAAGAGGAAAGCCACATGCCATGTTTTGTTTGAAGTTTTGATATCAGAGTGTGGAAAGGTGTCTTGCTTCCTTCTCGCAGGAAGTGTGCTTATATACCATTCTGCGCTAGTGATGAAATTAACCATGTCGACATCCACGACCCCGGAGCGGCAAAGCTGCACATAAAGTTCCTACCGCAGTGTTTTTCAGGCGAACAGGCGCGACATTGGGTATTCTTGGTTGGGTTTTGATCGGAATAAGAGGGCGGACACATGGTTCTTTGGGGTCATGTTTTAGATACAGGAGTAGAGGAAGATGTCCTCGGTCTTACGATCAAGAATGTTTTCATATACCATTTGCGATCATCGTATTCTATCCATGCAGATTTTGGGTAGACGGAAATGTGAACGCGCTCCAAGTTGACACTCCCACTTTGGAATTCCCTTTTAAGCGGCTGACGGTCGGAGCATTCGTTCGTTGTGTCGTTGTTTTAGAGGAGGTGTGGAATTCAAAGAACCAGTCAGAAGCAAAAGAGATCCTTCTCAGCCCATGTGTAGCTCGTGTGCTCTGATTTGGAGAGGAGCTGCCGACATATATAGGTCTATAGACTGTTTTTGGGAGAAAGCAAAAGCCACATGTCGCGCTTTCAAGTCGTTTTGGAAAGTAGACTCCCAGGTATGTTGGTAGATAAGGAAGGAAGAAGCGATTCAGGCGAGCTTATATAGCTGTCTCCAGCCAGAGCCCTCTCTTCGCGAAACATGAATTGTGGATGTGGCAACTTGGTGTGCTCACATGATCATCTCGTGGGTAGTTTTTGGAGAGCTTCCAAAGCTAAGTAGCGGAGGGGCGTAACCTCCAATTCATGGGTTTCGCGACAGCCCGTCTTCATGGGCTCGATATCTTTTGAGTTTTGATCGCTATGCGCTAGGTCATGTGCGCAACACGCTGGAGGACATTAGAACAAATGGGACATTGTTTGTACAGCCACTTCCGTCATGTTACGGTTCTCGTAGGAGTTTTGGTGTGTCGACACTCCGCATGAGTCAGGCATGCTATGTTTAAGGAGAAAAGGAAAAGAGCGCACACATGAGAACCCCGGGCGTGACTTTAGAGAAGGCAGCAGCACATGTTTTGTTGTGAACTGTACTTCGAAGAGCAGACTTTGAAGCGTAGTTTAAGACAATAGAAGGTAGGATAAGTATCGAACTTTATGAGGCCGTCACTGACTCTAGTGAGTGAAACGAAGGCGGACAAGGGAGAACATTTTGTGACATGCTATTGTTTCTGGGGCAGGGCGATCTTCTCATGGCGCAGCTGCACGACCTGTTTGGAAAAGCCAACTTTGAAGTGTTGTTTGGAAGAATAGAGAGGTGTCAGACTCGCAAGACTTTATACACATGCTCTCTGGTAGCCCCGAACTAACCCATATCCAGACACAGCGCAACAACATATGCGAAGATATTGTGGTATTCTCGATATCTGAGCAATCAATGAGAAATCCCGCTGCACACATGCCTGTAGTTTCTGCTGCATTCTCTGGCGCCGCCAATTCTAGACACACGCTCTTGGGACGTTCTCCGAGTTCTGCTGATCATGGTAGGGACAGCAGAGATTTTGGTTTTGAGAAAGCTACCACAGAAACAGTTTCATGAAACCAAGTCATGATGATTTTGAGAGACAGCGCAGAGGCAACATGACAATGTACGATGCCACATTTGATGGATAATAGGTGGACAATGTTGTGGTAAGAGAAAGGAAAGAGATGCAACGGTTGAGGTGTTTATATACACACCAGCTATGCTAGTGGCTGTCGAAGGTACAACTGGGTTTACAGTTTTGTTTGTGGTTACAATGCAGGCACAGCGACCGGGAAAGACATGAAATCGTTTTAGTCGAGTTTTTGATCGAAGCCGGCAACGACATGGTTTGTTGGAATGGCAAGTTTGAAGTAGTCCAGTGAACAAGAAGTCGAACCCCGGTTCTCATGGGATATTGATTCCCTCTTTTTGGCTGTCCACGTTGCCGAAACGAACATATGTTGCGGGCTAGCGTTTTTTGGAGACAGCGAGCAGAACACACATGTAAGAGGATCGTGTTGATTTTGGAGAGAAAGCACGAAGTGTTGATAATAGATGAGAAACGGGGGAAGGGGTTGAAAGAGTCGTATTCATATTGATTTCATGGACTTGGCAGGATGTACTTGGCAACGTCTTGACGTGGAACGATAGACTCTAAACACATGGAATTGATATGAATGTCTTCGGTGTTGGTCAGGCGCGATCACTCGCGCCGCGCTGATGTTATCGCCGGTATGTAGCCTGGGAGCTCTGTTGGAGTTCCAAATTGCTCTCATGACCGAGAACTTAGATGGAGCGACTAGCTAAAAAGCAAAAGTTCGTTCGGGTGTGACGATGTGGAAACCGTGTTACTCAGAACGAATACATCACACTCCGGAGACGTGACATTAGTTCTCACTTTCTTTTACACATACATCGTGTCGTCGAAATACACCATTGGCTCACGCTGCTGACACGATCAGTGTGACTGAGTGTGCCTCCAGCGTCTCGTATTGCTGACTGAACGAGAGTTTTGTGGATACCGCAATGTGGCGACGCGGGTACAACATGCGACTTCCCGAACGCACGCCTCCTCCACCTGCAGAACCGGGTACGACACCAGCGAAGATTTGTGCCTGGTGGCTGCCACGCCAATATGTCAGAGCTTATAGTTTCCGAACCTGGATCGCCAGAGGCGCATGTCAATCTGTAGGTGGCCGCCGATCACCTATTGATATCGCGGCCCGTGCGACGTATACGAAATATGACTATGGTGTTGTTGTCTCTCAACAACCCGCGATCGACATGTCGTGGTCGTTTGTAATATGGCTGGGTGGTCAGACGGACAGCGGAGGGTAGAACAGTGTCGGCTGAGCGAAGCGGCCGTCGTTTCTGCAGCGATCATGCGCAGCAAAGCAGGAGTGCGGTATGGTTACCAGCTCATTGGGCCTGTACAAGGTAGCATGTTCTGATGGGTAATTGCATTGACAGCTCGCGATGGTGCAGGGTTCCACACCCCCTTGCGTAGCCATGTGTTCGAGAAGCCGGAAAGATCGCATTTTCTGAGTTTCCCCTGGCGCTATCGTGATGAAATTACGAGTCAGATGGGCGTATGTCTATCTCGACAGAGGGGGTATGTTCTTCCAATGATCCCACTCTTGCATCACGCGTGATAGGCAGCCTCATGCGCTCGATCGACCAGGGTGTGTCCGTGTTGAGCATGCAGGAAGTATGCCGCTTGGGGCTTGCGGAGAGTTGTGCAGCCGAATGCAATGAAGCTGCATCGCGAGATGCGAAAGGTGGCTGCAGGATCGAAGGCGTCCACACTCGCTGCTTCTTCGGCGTTCATGTACAATTGAGGAGCTGATGTGCTCCCAGGGCCAGGGAGACGAGCCGGTCGTCTCCCGCTATCAGGGTCCTCGGCTGCGCAATCATTGGCGGTTGATCTGGTTGCTGGATCTCGAGGCGTCCCGGTGGCTAAAAGACGCGAAAGTGATGACTTCAGCCCATCACAAAAGCAGGTGCGTACCCTGGGCGCAAGGCACACGCAATGCTAGGGCATATCAACAATTACCAGGGCAAAGTATTGAATATTGAAGGAAGCGGGGCAGTGCGACGGCAGCGCTTCACGCGATAATAGCCACCGCGTCCTCTGCAAGGCTTGGTCCCAATTGCGAACGGACCTGTTTGAAGATGAAAATATGAAACTGCGAGTGTCAATTACTCAGGCGGGGTAGCTGCAAATATTGAGATGCTGCACCTATATCCCGATCTCGTAAGATCGCCGTCAGTGTTCAATAGCCGGCATGCGCCATGATGTGCTGCAAGGTCTTAATGTCCTTGTGATAAGATGTGATCACCTAGAGGCGCTTGTTAGCGATGATTGTGGCGCCTGCGTCGATCCGGTTTTCTGTTCCCGTAGCTCCAGCTGGAGGTCAGATCTTGCTTTTGACACGGCCCAAGCCTCAAAATATGCGTGGGGCGCTAACACTGCGTCGCCAAGTCGCCGTGCATGATCGCCTTCCCTTTATCGGCTCAAGGCGTCGAATGATGAGTAAGTGCAGCGGATGCCTTCGCATTTGTCAACATGCGAGGCTGCAATGGCGCCTGTGGGTCGAGTTGGGATGCGTAAAGTGAGGCGAGAAGGAACGGATACCCTTGCGGACCAGGGAAGGTACGACCAGAACTTGGAAGAGCGACTCCACCATATAGAATCCTTCAGAACAGCGCTTCAGTTTACCTCGGGAACAAGGATGTCTGCAATGAAGCCATGTAATTCTAGTACAAATTCTATACTACAGTTGCTGCCCAACCACGTCGTTGCATCGGACCCGGGAACCCGACCGTTGATGACAGTTGTCGTTCCCGCCCTACCACCTCAGGCTCGGAGAACTGCCTCGTTGCCGCCCAATGCGGAGACGAGGTGTTGTTCTCTGGTCGAGACTTCGAGTGTCTTCGTTGCGAATTCACCGGAAGCTGCGAGGGCGCAAGGACGATCCGGTGGTATCCACATGCATTCGTGCCGGCTCTATCGATTGTCCTTCCACCTCATTAACCCATGCGTCATAATACACTCCGTAAGATATCCTCAGCGCCCGCGCCGGATGATCTGTTCCAGCATCAAAACCCAATAGCAAAAGCAATCAAGTACAGATGCTCGTAGATGCACGTATCCATGTCGTCAACATGAACCATGCGTGCCATTGCGTTCGTACCATAACCCTTCCCCACTTTTCCCCAATGCGAACACAAAAGACGAACAAGAGAATAGCCTGAGAAAAGGCTGAAAAAGAAATGTGAAGACGTGACTCAAAGCCATAATGCTCGACGACCGCGAAAAACCATGGATGCAAGTGTTGGACAGAAGGAAAAACCGATGCAGATTGACTTCCGCAAGAAGCGGTCGATGTTCCCCGGCGTCCCAATGGCTGTGGAAGGAAAACCAATACGAGACACCCTGAGAACAGTATATGTACAAAAAGAAGCAAGTGATGTCGTCTCGAATGCGCTGGATGAGCGCGTAGTGCGGGTATAAGCGTGCGCATGGACGGTCTGTAGCAAGCCTCTCGAGATGAGGGTCAATGCGCTGACAGGATGGCGCTCGGCAGCGGCACTGCGATCAGCCACGAGGAAGATCGTCGCGACTAGAACTTGCTAAGATCATCGCCGTCGCGCTGTGGAGGTGGGTCGTTGTACAGATGGACCAGCGCCGACTTCTTCGAGGAGGTCCATGCAGGAAGTCAACACTGCGCAACGTTAGTATTGTGATCAGGCAATGAAGGCAATGTGGTACTGACTCGCTACGATTTCCTCTTCCCATACTCCCATTTGGTAGTCAACGAGGCCGTGCTTCTCCATGCTGTCGCAGTTCTTGACAAGTTGAGTGCCCATCTTCTCGAGGAATTCCCAATCGATGAGTGATTTGGGAGGCTGCGGTCGCTGGCCCGTGGTGGTCATCTCCTGCGTCATGGTCTTCTGCTTCTGCAGCGTGGAGAGCCAGCAGGTGTTGAACTCTTCCCACAGCTGCAGGCGCTGTTGGTAGTAGGTTTCGTCGTCGCGTACTAGGCCTGCTGCGGTCAATTCAGTTCCTCGTTCGATAATGCGCACACCGGGGAACTTACCCAAAGTCTCGGCCCAGTGCAACAGCCAGTCGGACATTCTGAGGAGCAGTGTGCCGGCTTCGGCGAGGCGGCCGTCACGGACATGCTCAAACGTCTTCTTCAGCTCGTTCTGGTAGTTTCGATAGAAGTCGTCGTACTCGTTGCCGCTATTGGCCTGGGGCTCGCTGTAGTTGCCCTGGGAATAGCCGCCCTGGGAAGGCGCCTGATGGGGGTCTGTCATGCCAGCGGCAGTGAAGGCGGGCGCAAGGGCTTCTCGTCCGACCTGAGCTTGGGGAGCGGAATAGCCTAATGAGGGATACTGGGAAGGAACGTTTTGCGCCGCGATGGCAGAGGCAGGTGCGCTCGTGGGCCCGCTCTCATAGTATTGGGGTTGTGCCACGCCAAAGCCGGTGCTCAGGACCTGTATAGCCGAGTCCCTGTTCTGCTGGTACTGTTCCACAGGCTCATACTGCGAAGAAGGCTGCGCCGCGGCCTGGGCGCCCGGCACGCTGTACATGATGTTCTGGCCGTAGGGCGAGTACTGCTGGGGCGCACGCTGGGCCTGTTGTTGCTGGTCGGCCGCATAGTCCTGGGCGCCATAGGCTACGGCAGAGGGCTGAATCGACGAGCCAAACTGTGCACCTTCACCGTAAGCGTAACCGTAACCCTGAGAGCTGGCGCGACTTCCGGAAGAGGGGACGGATGTGGGTGGGGCAGGTGCTGTCAAGGGCGGCTGCCTGAAGCGATCGGGTGCGCTTACCACTGGATACGATGCCTGTGGTGGAAGCAGCGTGCCTTGCTGGCTTGCGTAACCTGAGGGAGTATGCCGTGGCCGGCGGTCATTGTCCATCCCAACCAGCCCGCCTTTATACTGCAGACTGAAGGGGGGTTCGAGAGCCCGGTACCCCGAGGGCGAGACTGGCGGCGTCGCGTAATTGGCCAGCTTGCAGACTTGCGGGATGTAGGTGGTGGAGGGCCGGCGCAAGAGGTGGAGAGGCGAAGGCGCAGGTGTAGTCGACGTATGCGCGGACTGATGGAAGAGATGCGGTTTGGGGCGGGGTGCGTGAGAGGACCAGAAAGAGTTGATGGGTGATGCGGGCCAATGGTGGTAGATGTATGACGTCCGAAATTGGAAGACGAGATGCTCCCAGGTCCAGATGGTTTGGATATAAACACGGCCCTGACGCGTCGACGAGCGACCAATGCAGCCCAATGATGCAGGAAAAGAAGCTCGCGCAAGAGCCTCGGCCAGCCACCAGGATATCCTCGCTCCGCCTGCAGGAAGATGACTGCAATGCAATGCTCAGACGTCCGGGATTGGTCCTCCCGATGCGGTAATGTTGGAGAAAATGTGTGCGCCGTGTGGATCAGCTAAACACGTAGCCACTAGGTGACAGCGAAATTGTCCGGTAGATGCAGGCGTGGAGAACCCTGTGTGGGATGGGCTGGTGGTGAGGCGACGCTTATGCGTGAGATGTTTGAAGGGTAGTCCTTGCAAACAGATCAGTGTTCCAACGAGTCGGACGGAGTAGTGGCCGGCCTAGGAGATGGTCTCAAACAATCTAACGTCTGCGTTGCGGTAGCTCAACGGCCTAAACGTACGCTGGCGTTCTTCACGATGCAGTGTCTTGGGGCGCACTGGGCGAGCGGGAGTACATGCAGAGACGAATGAAGCGTTCGGTCCGAGACAGGACTGAAAGTGCGACGGATGCTAAGATTGTAATCGGATCGGTTGCACTGGACCGACGGATGAAGTGAAAGGCTCTGTTATAAGAGGCGTGTGAGTTCGACGTCAGTTCACGGCTGGCGCAGATGCTCACAGGGATGCAAGTGGGGGAGGGTGGTGTGGTCGCCGATGGTAGCCAGGCTGGAGGAGGGCAGAAAGAGACGTGGGCGGGAAGTGATGCAGTCGCGCTACATTGGGAGAGCATCGGGCAGTGTGGGAAGCAAAAAGGAAGTAGTTCGCAAGCCACGCCGGCGAACAGACTGTAAATACTTGGACCAGGGTGTTGAAGCTAGAGGAGAAAACAATGGTGGGTACCTGAGAAGTGGGTGTGGCTGCAGGTCGGGCGAGCGAGGGCTGACGAGTAAGACGACTCTACCAGCTCTGGATGACAGCGACCATGCGAAGTCTCCGATTTCCGATATGGCCAGGGCGGGGCTAGCAGTACCCTGTCTGCCATGGTTACGGATCGCCCATGGTGGATCTGCAGGCGTCTGGGCAGCCACACTGCAGGGCAGCATCGCGTTTGCTATGCGTGACCACTCGATGCCGTCGATACGAGGGCGCGGTCAGCGCCAGCACGACGACAAAAACCAGCAACTCCATCGTGGCTTCCTTCTTCTTCCTCTTCGGCGCAACCAGATGGCGATTCCCGCCCCGCGGCTCCACAGCGGCCAAATGTCGCAGCTGGCTGCTGGCCCAGGAACTGCTCCTCTCACCCAGCTGGGCTTGGCGGCAGACAGTGACCACGCGCCACATGGCATTTGTCCGCCAGTACGCGTGAAGAGCTGTAGGACAAAGGGGCCCGACGCACCGTGGGAAGACTAACCTTCAGGCGCGCGTTTCCGCCATGTTTCATGCCGCAGGCGTCCTTCGGCTCTTGAGGCGCCCTCTCCTGCTGCCAAATCACCAAACGGATGTCGAACTTGGATAGCCTCACGGCCGGCAGTGTCTCGTGTAGGTAGGTGCTGACAGGTGGGAGTGAGAAGGTTTAGGGGCTATCTCGGGCTCCAAACTCGATCCGTCCTTTCATCTCTGCAGCGCTGCAAGTTCCCGTCCACGCGCAGGGATCTCTCGCCTGTGGTCGATCTTGCCTTGGGCCACTTCACCCATCAGCCTCACTCGTCGATCCTGATCCTGCGAATGGGGACCTTCCCTTTCGAACTCGTGGACTGACGCACACTCACTCAAGCCGCGACCTCGCGACCTCGCCATGCCTTCTCCACGCTGCGACTCCTCGAATCTTACATGTGCGGTACGGTGGGGCTCTAGCGCCATCTCGGTCGCTCCTGCCGGCAAACCTCACTGGTTCTTGCCGCGAACCTTCCGTCATTTTTTCAACACGGCACGCTGCAAACGCTACCCACCGCCGCAGGCCGTTTATTCAGGCTAAGAGCACGCCTTGCGCTGTCACTGACACTTCAATTGCACGCTCTGGCGCGCCATACGCCGCGCGCGCGACTGTCCGGAACATTGCGCCATGAATGCCTGTTCACGTGCTCACCGAAGACTGCAATCTTCTGGAAGCTTTGCAAAGGCGCACAGCATGGCTCTGCAGGACACAGCCATCGCGTCACGAAACCAATGTCGTTCAACTTGCCCGCTTTGGTGCGATCACTGTCCAGACGAGTGCGTCATTCGGTACGGATGGCGATCATCAGGTGGCCCTGGCTTCCGCATCAACCTCCACCACCGCGCTTCGTGAAATGATCAAGGACCACGGCGAACATGCTTCGAGAAGGTTTCACTTCGTTCGACAAACGTCTGACTCGCATTCCGCTGCGACCACCTGGCAAAGTCTCGGGCGGATGCCGTGCTCGACCGTTTACGCGTCGTGCGGGACACGCGACAAGGAGTCAAACAGGGAGCTACCTTTTCCAACGAAGATCCAAACGGCAGCCCATCTTCTAGTGCCAAAGTCTTCTCATGCCTCCTGCCACATAACGTTTGTCCGCGACATGATCCGGAACGACCGAAAAGCAAGTGCAAGCGGATATAGCACAGACGTCGTGGTTCAAATATCATTGGCCGCCCTATGACCATGTCCAAAATAGAACATCGTGAAACGAGTCAGGGACGATCACCGCAACTCTGCGCCCGCGATCAGCCGGTCATATGTTGACTCTTGTCGCATGTGCCACCGGCAATAATAATTGGCCTGAGCATCTTGCTGTTGCAAAACTCACAATGCACATTTGCCTATCTAGGGTCTTGGTCGAAAAGCAGTCATGAATGCGAATGCGAGTTTAGCGCAAACAGAAACACATCAGGAAGGCATAAGTTATCGCATCAGTATTGAGTGCATTGCGTGCTGGTGGTGGCGCAGCCATTCATGCGATATACATTTGCTTCCTCTTAGCAAAGTGGTCTTCAACAGCTGTCAGGAACGGACCGAGAAAGCAATAACAGACAGTAGTGAAGCAAGGTTGAACCTGCATACTTGCTCGACATGAGACTGAACCAGGGAAGAAGCATAGTCAGCAGTGCAGAGCGGCACAAGGTTCAAGGCCTTGTGTTTCTGGACACACTTGATCGAAAAGCATGACCCTGTCCGGGCAATGCCGCACCAGATGAGGATCGTGTGAGCACATGGCCGTTTGGGTTGCGACATTGACAATCAGGCGAAGAATTGGTCATCTCCACGTGTCGTATGTACAGCACCCTGTTCCATGCAAACAGCGACAAGGTACCGAGAGTAACATCAACACTTGCTTGGACATACACGACGAAATCGAAGCACATTCAACAGACGGCGTCTTGACATGTCTCATCTTACACTTGGCCAGGCTGACACTGCAGACGACTAGCGATAAAAGGATAGTATACACACAAGCAGCTCATCGCTTGACCCAGGTGGGCATCTTTCGCGCCTTGACGTGACCTGGCTTCTTCCTTTCCACCTTCCTTGGGTCGCGCGTTATGGTTCCAGCTAAGGAGCAGTCAGCAATTGGATCCGGAATGCGCAGGCGAGACATGTTTGGGATCATCCAGGGGTGTTGACTGCGTTTTGAGGCGTAGACGTGGGCATGTGTCAGCCGCGAGGGCTGCATAGACAATGCTCATGGAACGACAGAACAAGCAATGCTGGATTGCAAAAGGCACGGATAAAGAAAACATCGACTCACCTCGTCGCAGCGCAGGCTTCAGCGCGGGTTCATGGACCAGCAATGACTTCGCTACAGCTAGAGTCATTGCTTCCGCCTGGCCAGTCAGGCCACCACCCTGCACCAGAGCAAAGACGTTGTACTTGTCAAGACGCTGAGTAGCCTTGAGGGCCCAGACAGCGCTCTCGCGGTGATGCAGCCGCCCGAAGAACTCTGAGAGGGACTTGCCGTTGACGAGCACTTCACCCTCGCCTTCTACCAGCCAAGCCACAGCAGACGACGTTTTTCTCCGCCCAACGCCCTTGGCACGCCCAAGCTCATCAATCACGCCAGGCTTCGGAACAATGTCACCGGGCTGGTTGGGCTTCTTGTACCGCAGCATCGCCTGCACAACCTCGTCGGGCATGAGCGCGGGGTGAATGCAGTTGAGTCTCCGCAGTATTTGCAGCATCCTGTGATACCGCGCCGTCTTTACCGGCTCGTTGGTCATGATGCGATACTGCTCGATCGTCTTCCAGGCCACCTTGGGTGCCTCTGCGGGCGGTATAACAGGTAGTGTAGCGACTTTTCGCAGGAGAGCGGAGAGGGAGAGGAAGTCGTCGGTGAAGGTGGGCTTTGCGCTGAAGTAGGACGGCGATGCTGGGACGACGCGCAGTGTTCGTAGGGAGTCCTTCTTTTCGCCCTTCTTTTCGCCCTTCTTGCCGCTGCCTTTCGTCGTCGCTTCCAAGTCGATTTCGGGGGCCGCTGTGAATGGTTCCCGTATCTCTTCCTCTGTAACCTCTGCACGTCGCACGGCTGTCGTCGAGATGCATCTCCGTACTGTGGGTTGGAAGCTCCGTTGCGCATATCGCATCGTGCGTTCGCACTGGGGCCGCGGTCGACTCCCCAGGGCATCGGCCGCCCTCCAAAGACTCCTTGAAAACTCCTTGCTTGCCATTGCGCCTCTGGTCGACAGCGAATGCACCGTGGTAGCGCTGTCAAAGAACTGCCACCTGCCACAACTGACGACGATGGATGCACGAGCCACCTGCAGAGGCTTAGCGGCTAGACTGAAATTACGTGGACTGTGCACGCAAAGTTCCTACAGCCCCTCCCTCAACCCAACCAGCTTTTTCTTCACAACTCCTGTCTTCCACACACTGATTGTTAAGCTCAACCACGAACTCTACAATCATGTCTTTCGGAAAGCTCTACAGCTACTCGGTACGTCGTCGCACACAGGCACGCGAAGTCGCACCGCAATGAGTCCTAACAGCAAGCCAACAGGGTAACCCGCGTACCACCTCTCTCCTGGCCGTCGCGAAGGAGAATGGCCTCGACATCGAGTTCGTCGACACTGAGCCAGCCAAGGGTGTCTCTGAGGACTACCTGAAGCTCAACAAGCTCGGCAAGGTCCCTACCTTCGAGGGCGCTGACGGCTTTGTCCTCTCCGAGTGCATCGCCATCGCTGTCTACCGTAAGTGCTACCCCGCGCGTTCGCTCCTCCCTGCATAATATGATGTCGAATGAATTCATTCAGTTATCCCTGTCTGAAAACTATTGTTGAAAACTTACTATTCTGATTTGCCTCTACCACATCTACTCCGTCTGTCCAAAATTTGGTGGTGACTCAGAGCTGACGGATTCCAGTTGCCTCGCAAAACGAGAAGACCAGCCTTCTCGGCAAGACCAAGCAGGACTACGCCACCATCTTGCGATGGATGTCCTTTGCCAACACTGAGGTCCTCTCCCCCCTCGGTGGCTGGTTCCGCCCCATCCTCGGCCGCGACCCTTACAACAAGAAGAGCGTCGACGAGTCCCAGAAGGCCGCCCTCAAGGCCGTCCACGTCATTGAGGAGCACCTCCTTACACACACCTACCTCGTTGGTGAGCGTCTGACTCTTGCCGACATCTTCGCTGCCAGCATCCTTGCCCGCGGCTTCCAATACTTCTTCGACAAGCAATGGCGCGACTCCAACCCCAACACTACCCGTTGGTACGAGACCGTCTACAACCAGGCCAGCTACTCTGCTGTCGCCCCCAAGCTCGAGTTCATCTCCGAGGCGTTGAAGAACGTCGCACCCAAGAAGGAGGGTGGTGAGAAGAAGAAGGAGCAGCCCAAGGCCGCCCCTAAGCCCAAGAAGGAGGAGGCTGAGGAGGAGGAGGAGGCACCAGCTGCCCCCAAGCCCAAGCACCCTCTCGAGGCTCTGCCCAAGGCCACATTCGTCCTTGACGACTGGAAGCGCAAGTACTCCAACGAGGAGACCCGTGAGGTTGCCCTCCCATGGTTCTGGGAGAACGCCAACTTCGAGGAGTACTCCATCTACAAGGTTGACTACAAGTACAACGACGAGTTGACCCTCACCTTCATGACCGCCAACCTGATCGGTAAGTCAAATCACCTGCAACTTATATAGTCACATTGCTAATTCCTCCAGGTGGTTTCTTCACCCGTCTTGAGGCCAGCCGCAAGTACCTTTTCGGCTGCTGCTCCGTATACGGACAGTCCAACGACTCCATCGTCCAGGGTGCGTTCATCGTCCGTGGCCAGGATGCTCTCCCCGCCTTCGATGTCGCTCCTGATGTCGAGAGCTACGAGTTCACCAAGCTCGACCCCACCAAGGAGGAGGACAAGGAGTTCGTCAACGACCAGTGGTCGTGGGACAAGCCCATCACCGTCAACGGAAAGTCCTACGAGTGGGCCGACGGAAAGGTGTTCAAGTAAACGCTTCGCCTTCTTTTTGAAGTGTTTGCTTTGATTTATGATGCGGATGATTAACGAACTGGCATGGGTATGGATAGGATGACGGATGAGGATTCATGAGATCACGCTGGGCAGCCCTGGTGGATCAGTGATACTGCCATAGCCGTTAGAGGCTCAAAATGCTGCACAAGAAGTTCATGATACCCAACACATAATATTGTCTCGATGCTGTGACGTTTGTTCCAAGGTTGCACTTTTGCTCTGCTGGTCTCGTCATGTGCATGTGATAGATCTTGAGCGCTTGTATGCGACTGCGTTCCTTATCGCGCACTCAACAGATAACGAAGAGTTTGTCTTCCCTGACACTACGTTGCCTAGCAGGTGTCAGGTGTTCTCAACCCCAGATCTGGGCTCGAACTGGGGTGGGGCCAACAAAGTCGTGGCTTGTCGAGCCGAGCCTATCATTGGTTGTAAGAGACAAGGAAATAGCCCTAGCCAACCGCCGAAGCCGTCCAACGAAGGCTGGAAAGAACGGCGGCGTGGGCAAGCGCATGAGGCACATGCATGTCTTTGATCCTCGAGTCCTCACCTCGATCTCCATCTTGTCAACTTCTACAACACTGAACCGCGCCGAGATTGCGGTCCCGCGACGGAACTATCACGGTGACATTCGCGCGCACGGCCAAACACAGCCATCATCACAAGGCACGCCTGAGCTGAGCGCGGGCGTATTTGTCGTCATCCGCACTTTGATTTGCGACAATCGGTACCTTTTTCGCACAACGGAGGAAGAGCTGGAATCGGAACATCAGGATTAGCGCGACAAGAACCGCGCAATCATTGTGCACATAATTCCGGCTTCCTGCGTTATCAGTTGGTGGATCGTGCTCCGGACGACGGAACGGCGGCCATCGGTTCACGCAAGTGTAACGTGCAACGGTAACAGAACAAACTGGTGATCTGGCTTTGCGCTACGGAAACGCGACGCAAGGATTGAGCACAAGAGTGGTTTCCGGCTTTAAAGGTGGGAGGTGCGAAGAAGAGGGAGAACGTCCTCGTTGAGTCTTGACGCAAACAGAAGATTCTAAGGAAAGAGAAAGTGTTTTTTGGGACAAAGAGCAAGCAAAACCGGATTGTGCTTGTGCATCTTAAAACAGCTTGGGGAAGAGAGGCTAAGAAAATTTATCAGTTGAACTGGAAGAGGAAGACAAGAGGAACACCAAGGGAATGAAAGAAGATAGCGCGAGGGTGGTGAGGAGATCATCTGGAAACTCGGGGGAACCTGCGATTCAGGTCATCTGTCTGGTAGGTCATTCTGTGCTGGTTGTGTTTGTCGATGTGGCTAGAGGCATTCTCATATATGCATCAGATGTCGCCAATCGTGCAGGTCGACAAGCAGATGTGCCGTCTCGCAGTAGAGGCTAACACGAACAGGGCTCTGGAGGTGGACCAAGCGAAGACAATGTCACGGGCTTCCTCGTTCGATCAACAGCAACAAACTGGGCTAAGAACTCCGTCATAGCTGTGGATGCAGGCTCCCACCTTGCATCGATTACCCGCATACTTGGTCAGGATTTCCCGCTTGTCTCCGACCCGGATCCAGCATTATCGACCCCACATAACGGTAATGGAAATGGGAATAGCAGTGACGCGCATATAGAGTCGCCGTCGCCTGGCACTGGGCATGTCTCGCTCTCCGACGAAGATTCTGGGCCTGAGACACCAGATTCTGAGCAGGATGTACCCGTCACAATTACTACGCTGAAAACTGGGGCATTCGCGGGGTTACCTTTCCCACATCTGAGTGCCAGGGCGAATGCGCTACATGTTGTGAGAGAGCACATTTCCACTTATCTCATCACCCATCCACATCTCGACCATGTCTCGGGCTTCGTCATCAATACAGCAGCTTTCCACAATACATCTCGACCCAAGCGGTTAGCAGCACTACCATTTACCGTCAACGCGATCAAAAACCACATCTTCAATAACATCATCTGGCCTAACCTTACGGACGAAGATGGAGGCGTGGGACTAGTAACATTTCAACGACTTGCAGAAGGCGGTAACATTGCTCTGGGTGAAGGAAGCTCAAGAGGTTACATCGAAGTATGTGACGGCTTAGGAGTCAAGGGCTTCAAAGTAAGCCATGGCCACTGCATGCAGGGACCTGGCCATGTACACCGCGGATCGAACGCCAACCTACTGGAGACCTCAGATCGGCAAAATGCAAACCCTTCTCAATCGTATGGTCAATCAGACGGAGCTGAAGGTCGTTCACAAAGCTTCTCAATGACTACACAAAGCGCACCCGGCACTCCAGGTTTCAGCGGAAGCACAGAAACCGGCCGACGAGCCAGCGGTGTCACAGTTCCTCAACCCCAGCAACCGCAATCGCAAGATCACTGTGTGATCGACTCAACCGCCTACTTCATTCGTGCCGAATCTACCCTCACGACCCCAAAACGCGAGATCCTCATCTTCGGCGACGTTGAACCAGACTCCCTCTCACTTTCCCCACGTACACATCAGATCTGGACGGAAGCAGCTCCGAAAATCGCGGCTGGCACGCTAAAAGGCATCTTCATAGAAGTCTCATATACGAACGCGCAAGCCGACGCCGTACTTTTCGGACACTTAGCACCCCGCCATCTGCTCGAAGAGCTCAGCTCCCTCGCGGCCATGGTAAAAGACAGCAAAAAGCAGCACGAGCGCGACAAAGAAGAGCTCCGCTCACAGAAGAAAAAGAAGCGGAAGAGAGCCAGTGCAAACAACAACCTCCAGCTCGAAAGCCTGACGTCTATCGAGGGCGGTAGGAAAGCCAAGATGGGTGGTTACCTAGGTGGAGTAGGCAAAGGGATAGATTCCCCAATCTCGACAACAAACCACTCGCAGACCGACGATGAGACAATGAGCGACTTCCCGCTTTCGAGAGGTGACACGGGGACGAACACGCCTGTTCCTTTCCCACCGCCACTGCAACATCATCAGTCCCTTCAGCGGCAACAGGATCAACCACAGGATCAACAAAACGGGACCCCCGGGCCCCCTCCATCTCATCCTTCTGCACCAGCAGCGTTCGGTCTGTCATCCGTCTCCGCTGAGCACAACCGCGCCATGCTCTCCGCGGCATTCGATTCCCCGCTCAAAGGCGTCAAAGTCGTTATCAT